CTTATATATATATATATATATATATATATATTAATTATTGCATTTATCATATATAAATATTTAAATTTTATAAATTCGACTTTAATCCAGGATAATTTATTTTTAATCTTTTTAATTTTAGTTATTATTTTTAAAGTATTCCTCTCAGTTTTTTTATTGTTTTTATTTTGATCTTACTAAATTTTACTTATTTTTCTTATTATTATTATTATTTTTAACTTCTATAGTTTTCTCACTTTTTTATTTTAGTTTCTTCAGTTTTTTAATTTTTCTTTCGTTAGATTCAACTGCTAATATAACAACATAAGGATACAAATAAATAAATAAAAATAATAGATATAAAAATAAAAATAAAATATTATATTTTATAAAGATTAAAAAAATATTTAAGTTTAAAATAAATTATATAATAAAATATTATTATTTTCAACATCTTTACTTCCTCAGTAGTGAAGCCCTCACATACATTCTTCACTGTAGAAGCGTTCAAGAGAGAGAGACCAATCCGCGTTTTATTTTATACCAAACGCGATGATTTCCTGCACCAGTACAGCACCACCCACGAAACCTCCTCCTTCTCTCCTCTCTTTCCACGTTGAATTTTCAAACCCAAAAATTATTTTGCCAATAAATAATATGAATCGTTAGAGATATACTTATTTTTTACCAGATAATTTTATTTTTAAGTCTATAGCAGTTAGATAATACAATTATAGATAGGAAAATTCTTTCTTTCGAGGATCATAAAAAACAGTAAAATAACATTTTGTATAAAAATATGACATCAATATAATTTAATTCTCTTAAATTTATGAGACATCCTCCGTCTCATATGCATGATAAAATAAATATAATTAAGGATTATAATAAAAAAAATTGTACTTTCAAATATAAATAACGAATATCACATTCGAAATTCAAAATAAAATTAAATCAACGCCTAATTACTACAAACTTAAGAAAAATGTTTTTCGGGAAGTAATCTATAATTTTTAAAACATAAAATATGAAATATAATTTAAGATTTCCGATATCATATATATTAGAGTTATCCTTTCAATCAATTAGACTCTTCTAAAAAGAAAGTCTCCCTCAACCAAATATGAAACATCCATCCACAAGGAAAATAAGGGAGTGAGAACATATATATCTCAGTCCGACCATCAGTGTAGAATAAGGGCAAACAACCACACACAAACATTATGTAAAACCAACTATTAAGTTTCTCATCAATATCCATTAATTTCAACTAAGTTCATATCTCATTCCTTCATGACATCAATTAGAATACAACTCAAACACAAACAAATTGTTATGATCATACATAAATTAGACTCTTCTAAACTATATGCTTGTGATATTAGTAAAAACACTTTTTTCTACTCGAAGGCTGAGTAGTTTAAGAGTACATGATGGGTCAAGCCATCACAATACTCTCACCAGGATGATATATTGATAAGGTCTTGTCAAGATAACTAAGTCGCGCAAGATACGTCTCATGCACACAATGGGTGAGACTAGGACTTCCCAAACCAAGCTACTCCCAAGAACTAATTCCTAAACTTTTACACAAGGGGACCTTTCCTAGTGGTGTGTTTTGCATTAGACTCATCACAAAATACAAATGCACATGATGCATGACATTCAAGACTTAATGCATTTATCACACTTAATCACTTATCACTTATACTTTATAGCACATCACATCTTGTCACTAATCACATTATCACTTCACAATTCATTACTCATCACTTTCACTTATCATAATCACTTAAGTAAACAAATCCCTCATACATACACACATAAGAACTAAGTTCAAACATAGGGTGCGCCTGGAGAGATATGCCTTGCGCCCGGAACGTACAAGGCCATGAGCCCTGGAAGGAATCATGCTTAGCATGATCCTCCCCATGCTTGACGAGATGCATCCAGAGAACTTTTGGAGCCTTCACACCCAACATGATTTCACTCACGCTTGGTGTCAATAATGCCATAAGTATTTCGGGCTTCCACGCCCAATGTGGTTGAGGCTGTAAACATTTGGTGTTACCCATGCCTGACAAGCCCAAGCTGTCACCTGACGTGGTGTTTGTAAACAATTTTTCTGCATAATTCGTGATTTTTCAATTATGTGTCTCCTATGATTTCTACAATTTTAATCCATTAAATAGTTATGTAATTTACAATTATTTCGAATTCACTCATACTTACAGGTTTAGATACATCCTTAGGTTCTCCCAAGAACCCAAAAAACCTCATAGATTCATGATCACACACAGGTCTTATAATTAACACATCATTACTCGCTTATAACATATTCAGGAACATCTAATTTCATAACAAATTACACTAGGTTTAGGTTTAATCCGTCACCCACATAAATATCTACATAACCTATGGATTGAGGGTCAATCTTACTACCCAACAATTATCCTACATCCTAGAGCAATATTCTCACTCCCCCTTTTATCTTGATCAACGATAACTTCAAGATTTTGATCATTGAGTTACTCTCGAACTGCATCTAGTTTGTCTCCCTCTTCAGATCGTAAAGTACGGTCTGATTGCATGTGAGACAGACCTAGCTATACTAATGTATTTAAACAAAACCTTAACTCTCACCTGCATCTGTAGCCCACCAGTAAAAAACCCAAACAATTAACTTCACATATTTGAATTTAAAAAGATAATTACTAAATATCATGTTATCAAACCACTCAAAATATTTTATTCCCTAATTAATTAATTAGAAAATCTTTTATTAATCTATTTGGAAGAAGTGGGATGTTACAATTTCAATCTGAGATAATTCTTTCTCCTCACATCCAGCGTCATTAATCATGTGTTCGACGTGAGTAAGACGAGGAACCATGCTCAACTCCTTGAAGGCGCATCTAACATGATGATGAGTTTTAAACATAACAAACTCAATAATCGGTCCTCCCTTTGCCTGAAAACCAAGAAATCAAGTATGCATTGCACAAAAACTTGTCTACACATCACCCAACAACTCATATGCCATAAGAAATTCAACATGCAATCATCAATTTGATCAAAACCAACAAGTTCACCTCAAACATGATTCAAAGCACTAAATCTTAACAACCTCATCATATAATTTGAATTCAACCAACATGATAGCAAATGATGAAAAAAATAACATACATCTCAATTAACTTAAATCCAAATTCAAAATCAACATGCAACCAATATTATTCGAAATTCACTGAGTTCTCCTCTTGAAAACCAAGAACACCCAAACTCCACAATCAAGCATCAATTTCATGCAATCCCACCAACATAGTAACAAATCATTCATGCAAGACAACTCAACACTCAACAATAATTTCAATTTTTTCTTTCCTTACCTAAAAGTCGAGAAGAAATGAGAAAGAGAAAGAAGAACAAGCTCCAAGCTTTTCTATGAAACTCTGCACAACTCAACAAATATGATTCACGGTTTAATTGACTTGAATCAACAAACATAACTAATTAAAATCCTAGAGAAAGAGTCACCATTTCAAGATAAGGTTCAAAGATAAAAATAACTCAAAGACTCTAAAGCGCTTCTCTCTACCTACCTTGTCTCTCTTAGACTTTTAAGAACTAAACTTATAAAATTCAATCCTTAAAATAAACCTTATATATTTTTTGCTCTTCAAGGTCAAGCTGAATCTCTACTTAAAGAAACCCTCATAATCACCTTAACTCACGAAAATTCTTTAATTATCGGAATTTCTCAAAATAAAATACCTAGAGACACAACTCACAATTACTGATAAAATATAATAATTAATAAAACGTAGAGTGCTACATACTCTCTTGAGTATTTTTTTCATTTATAATTTTTAATTTAATAATAATATATAATTTAGTTATAAAAATACAAAGAATAATTTTTTAAAATGTCACATCAGCAAATTAAGTTCACTTATTTAAAAATAAAAACTGGTTGTATAAATAAGATTGAATAAGTTGGATTAAATTTACTTAAACTCTAAAAAAAAACTGGGAGTAGTTAGATTGATTCAAGTTCAAGTTCAAGGTTTATTTGTAAGACTCCATTCCCGTCATATTATATCAATTGATTCAACCACTTAACTATGAAAAATGTTAGATTTTCATGCAAAGTATTGTAAATCTTATTTTTATTTTTTAATTAAGAAAAACGTGTTAAAAAAAATACTCAACAAAATGCGTCGTTAACAATATTTTATTAGATTTTTTTTTCTTCTATAAACATGGTGTAAGCAGTATTTCAAAGTCCACAGCTAAAAATTTTATAAGATTTAGCTACTTAAAAGATTCGTTTTTTACTTTTTATAATTACTCACAAATTTTAACAACCTTACCCATTTAATATTTAATTTTAAACGAAAAGACATAGGAACAAAAATTTATGGCAACCTTGGTCATAGTAATGACGTGAGAGACTCCGGTGTGCGCGTGCTTTGTCTTCTCTCCCTATAAACCAACGTTGGTCTCTGTCCATGAGAGCCCAAACACGCTTTCAAGTTGCCAAATTTCATCCCCCTTTCCCTCACATTCTCAATTCTGATTCTGCGATACCAATTTCTTCTTCTGAAGATGGATATGAAAAGCAGAGGAATTCCATTTACCATGTTTTTGCTCTTTCTGCTCCTTTCTGCAATTTTCTCAACCTCTTTCTCCAAAACCGATCACGTTCTCAACTCCAAGAAGCCAATACCCCCATCCTCTGTTGCTTTCCGGATTCAAGGAAATGTATATCCACTTGGGTATGTTATCTTATGTTTCCTTCTTTAACAAGCTTCTTCTACAACTCATTTCAGTCTTTATTATTCTCCTTGACTTTCAACGTTTTCTAGGCTTAGCTTGGTTTTTATTTTTTATTTTTTATTTTTATACTTTTGTACTTGTGGCTGTGTCAAGATTTTATTTTTCTACAAACGGCATTGAAAGTTGAACCCAGAACTTCATGTAAACTAGGTCGATCATGTGGGTTGGTTGTATAAGTTGAGCTGTGCTAATTGTTTGTAACGTCCTCTTTGTATCCCTACATTGAATAAACTAAAAAAAAAGGGTTTTTTTTTTTTTTTCTAATTTGGATGCTGATTCATTGATTCTGTCTCCCCTTTTAGGCCTTTGAATACTCTGCTCAACCATTTTACTCTGACTAGTCCTTCTATATTTGTAGGAACTAGCAAGTTTCAGAGTCATCCTCGTTCTTATCGAATTTATGTGATATGATATCATATGCATCGAGTGTTCCTACCAGTGAATTTCTGAATATTTTTTTCAGAGAAAGAAGAATCATACAAAAAAGTAGTTTGACAGGCCCCACCCCACCCCGCCCTCTTTTTGTGATTTTTTTTTCCTTTGACCATTCTTTGTTCATAGTGGCTTTATAACAAAAAGTAATAGCAACATGATGGTTGGTTTTCAAAGGGATGAATTCAACCTTCATGTCAATTTCAGATTATAAAGGCTCATCCTTTCTGTGGATGCAGGTATTACACGGTGAGCTTCCCCATTGGAAATCCCCCTAAGCTTTATGATCTTGACATTGACACGGGTAGTGATTTCACTTGGGTACAGTGTGATGCACCGTGTTCAGGTTGCACCATAGTAAGTTTCACTTCACAAGATGACAACATTCATTCTCAACTACTTTTACTTATTATATTACTAACAACAACTCGTCTTATGATGAATATTGACGATCTTCTTTCCTTAATTGGTGTTGTTTTAGCCTCGAAATAGCCAGTATAAACCCCGTGGCAACCTTGTGAAATGTGGGGATCCCTTGTGTGGTGCAATCCAGTCAGCACCTAGCCATCCCTGTGCTGATCCAAATGGGCAATGTGACTTTGAGGTTGAGTATGCAGATCAAGGATCATCTCTTGGTGTGTTAGTCCGAGATAATATTCCACTTAAACTCTCTAATGGATCTTTAGCTCGCCCTATGTTGTCCTTCGGGTGAGTCTTTTGATCTTTTCTCTTCATCTATTTAACGGTGGTTGGTTTACTTAAAAAGACTTAAATATATTTTTAACTCAATTAAGCAATGTTTGTTTTTAATTACTTAAAATTTAGTGTTTTATTTTAATTCCTCATTTATGAAAATGTGTCTGATATGGTGGTTGTTATAAATACAGCATTTTTAAAAGCCAAAAGGAAACAACTTGTTTTTTTTAGAGATTGAAAGTGAATATAATCCGGAGAGACTAAATTTATTTAATTCTGTTTTTATGACAGCAACAGGACTTAAATTTTCCCAGCAAACATTTAATTTTGTGTTTTGTTTAAAACTACAATTCCTAAATAATCAAGATCCTTTGTCTGTTGCATGATAGGTGTGGATATGATTTGCATTCTGGTCACAGTCCCCCACCTTCCACAGCAGGGGTTCTTGGCCTTGGAAATGGCAAGACAAGCATTCTGTTCCAGCTTAACTCTCTTGGCCTAATTCGCAATGTGGTAGGACACTGCTTAAGTGGGAGAGGAGGAGGGTTTTTATTCTTTGGAGATAAATTCATTCCTCAATCTGGAGTTGTTTGGACACCCATATTGCAAAGTTCCTCTTCCTCGGTGTAAGTGTTGAAATAGATGTTATATGTTTCCTTATGACTTATGAGATGTTGCTACTTATGAGAACTTACACATGGTCTATTATGTTTCAGAAAACACTATAAAACAGGTCCAGCAGACTTGTTTTTCAATGGAAAGCCTACTCCTATCAAGGGTCTTGAACTTACCTTTGATAGTGGAAGCTCGTACACATACTTCAATTCACAAGCTCATAGAGCTCTTGTTCAACTGGTGAGATATGGAATCTAAGGAGCCTTGTTATTGTTGTATTGTATGGCCTGTGATAATCACCTACCATCTTCAATTAGTAATCCAATCCTTGATATGTGATTCAGGTAACTAATGATATAAAGGGGAAACCATTAAGCAGAGCAACTGAGGATCAAACACTACCAGTTTGTTGGAAGGGTCCAAAGCCTTTCAAATCTCTACATGATGTCAGTAGCAATTTTAAGCCCCTGGCATTGAGCTTCACAAAATCAAAGAATTCGCTGCTGCAACTACCACCACAAGCTTATCTAATTGTCACTGTGAGCACCTTTTAAGACTATGAGCTACTTCTCTCTTTCTCTTTAATGAAAGGAACAAAAGAATATCATGTGCCTACTCTATTATCTAACATGCTTCCCTTTTCTAGAAATATGGCAATGTCTGCTTGGGGATTCTAGACGGCACTGAAATAGGACTGGGAAATATTAACATAATTGGAGGTGAGCAATATCAGATACCAATAAAAATATAAGGAGACCTTGTTTTACTTTCCCCTTTTTTAATTTGATAGTTTGATTGTAATACATTTTCTTTTGCTCTTAACAGACATCTCTTTACAAGATAAGATAGTAATTTATGACAACGAGAAACATCAGATTGGATGGGCCCCTGCCACATGCCAAGTGTAATTGACCTTCCAAGTCATAAATCAATCGTGATTTTTTTGTATAGTTGAGAGTTGAGACTGCTATTACGGCTTTCTCACAAGAAAAATCTTAGCAGATCGGTGCTCTGCATCTTATGATGTTGTAAATTTTCAATGTCAATGAGCCATTAGGCGAGGAATGTTAGGATGCAAAATGGTTGGGGTAGCATGTATAATCTAATAATCCCATACATATGGTACAACATCATTCGTTTATACTTTTATATTTAGCAGTTTACTATACTTTTGATTTCACTATTTTTTTGTCCAAAGTTTAATTACGCTTATTCATAAACTACGATATACGATTTTCAAATCACAAATAATAAGAATTCAAAGATTATAACTAGAATAAAATCGACGAAGTTAATAAATTTGTCTAATGCTCACACACTCTTAGGATGAACTAGTTCAAACACTCATCCTTCCATTCTGACAGCACCTCATACATTCTACATCCACTGCATCACTCTCACCCTCCCACAAAACATGGCACTAAACTTTGGCCCTCAATGAATTCATTAAGGCCATAAGCACTCACCCTTTTGTTCCAAGGATCATTTAGCATTCAGCCAACACATACTCTCACACCTCATCTATCATGCACAAATCTCACACAACAATTGCAACACGCACATACACATAGGTACCTCCTATTCACACACTCACTAAAAGCACACACATCACCCATTACACACTCTCACTTACCCACTCTTCAGCACAAGACTCCACACACTCGCAAGGTTTTTTTTACTATCATTTTCACTCAGATTGTTATAACGCACACACCTATTCAAATGCAAATGCTTAAAGCTTTTCTAAGTACTAAAAATACAAATTAATAATATAAAATAATAGATATAATAAAAGAATGTTTAATAAAATGCTTAATACTGTTATAAAACAAATTTTAATAATTGAATTTGGAGGTACAAGTTACGACAAATAGATATATTTAAATTCTTCTTTGAAATAAAAATGTTAAATTAAAATTAAGTTGTTGCAAAAAAAAAAGTGTTAATCAAAATTAAGATATTTGTCAATTTTACATTTCAAGACAGTGATGTGGTAGTTAAGTCATAAATTTAATAGAGGAAAATTTTAATTAAAAGATATTAACACACAAATATTTGTTACAAAAAGAACTATAGATATGTATGAGTTAGATACCACTCCCGTCAAACTAAATAAACAGAAAATAATATTAATTCATTTTCTTTCATAATAATAATAAATTTTGAATCTTCATAAAAAATAAACAATCTCATAGATAAGATAAAAAAAATTGCTATCACGTTATAAATAATTTGCAAAACTAAATAAAGATAACTGTTTTTATAATAAATTTTGTTGAATGTTAATATCTTTTTTTACACATAATTAACTTCTGAATTTTAAATTTGGTTTCTAAGGCCATTTCTTTTTTAAAAGGTTTTTTTCTCACAATTTTTCTTAATAAATTTGGGTGCAATTCTTTTGTCACACCCATGACTAAAGAGTTGCATACCTCCTACCTTATTAATCATCACGTGGAAATAAAATTAAAAAATTATTAAAATACAAAAATGATAATTGAATTCATAGCTCCTACCTTATTAATTATCATTTCATTATACCGTCCAAATATTACTTAACTCAAATATATCTTACCTCTGCAATATTTCATAATGTTAATCAACTCTTAAAAATGAGTAAAACTTACATAATTAATATTTTTTTTTAATTTTAAGCAACTCATAATAACATGTGGTATACTAAAATAATATTTTAATTATCGAACAATTCATTAAAAACTCTCTTTAAAAACATACTCTAAATATTTAATATAATTATATACTTTCCTATTTGAAAAAACTTTTTAAATCGGAACAATCTCTTTAATTAAGAAGGTGTCTATTTCTTCAATTAAATTAGTCACTTTCCTAAAATTAATTGAAGGCCGCGTTAAGTTTTTATGTACTATATAGAGTATAAACAATGACAATCTATCCAGCATTTCTTTAGATTAGGAACCAAACACATTGATTTTCAATCCATCATTTGAATAAAATGACCCTTTGAAGCAAATATTGAAAATAAGGAATTAAATTGGAAAGAGGCAGACCTATATGCATTGACGCATTTGCAACCCAATATTAATAGTTCTTTCTACATTCCAAAGTCCAAATGCAACCATTATTTGCTTTACCAGGAAATTTCCAAATTCGCTTTTGCTCGCTTTCAACCTTCCAAGTTTCAAATTCAAATTTATAAAGATATCACTTTTATATTTTAATTAATTGGTGAGCATTCACTCGTTAGTAATTATGCTTAAAATATATATATATATATATATAAATAGATAGATAGATAGATAGATAGATAGATAGATAGATAGATAGATAGATAGATAGATAGATAGATAGATAGATAAATAGATAGAGGAAGAATCCGTTTATTCCATAAGTAAGTCTACCTAAATTTACTTTGTTCAATAACTCATGTTCTACATCAAATTTCAACGATCTAACCGTTCAATTTAAAGTTTTTAATTCATAGATTAAATCTGCAAATTTTTTAAAAATTTTAAAATCATTTGATACTTCGTTTTCTTAATTCAAATTGATGAATAATCATAAAATTATTTTATACATTAATTCGAATTAATGAAACGAAGTATCAAATAATTTTTAAATTTTTTAAAAATTTACAAATTTAATTTATGTATTAAAAACTTTAAATTGAACGGTTGAATAATTAAAATTTGATGTAGAACATAAATTATTGAATGGAGTAAGTTTAGATAGACTTATCCCTAGAATAAACGAATCTCTCCTCATATATATATATTATTCTAACTTCTATTATTAGGTTCATTCGAGGGATTCACTTTTATATTTTAATATTTTTTATTATCCTAATTTCTATTACTAGACCAATTCTAATATTGACTTGACAAAATAGATAAATAAAATAATTAAGATAACAAAAAGGTTTTAAATTAAAAGATTACTGAATTACTTTTTAGTTACATTATTAAATTAGGAAATATATTTATTATTTTATATAAATAAGGTAATTACCATATAAATTAAATCTCAGTGGAACTTATAAAATTTTACAATGTATAAAATTTTAGCTGGCAAATTCTTGTGAAAATAATATTCACTTCTCAAATATATTTGTATAACCAGAAAATGTTCATATAAGAAAAATGAGTTAATCATTTATACACTACTAGTGTAAAGTTTTTTTACATTGACAATCAATCATATTTTTTAATAGTGTCATGTTAGTTGCTCATTTAATGAAATAAAAATAAATAAAATAATTTAAAAAATATGATTAGTTGTCGGTATAAAAAACTTTACACTAATAATATATGGATGATTAACTCAATAAAAATACACCTTAATACATTCTTTAGCATCTAGGGCAATTCACGCGAATCTCAAATTTTTTAATACATTCTTAGGAAATTTTAAATAAACATTATCTAATAATTAAAAACAAATATGTTAAAAATAGTAATATGTAAGAGAGTGCAGTGTTAATAGTTTTTCAATTCAAGCTTGTTATTTAAAGATTTTGTATTTATTTATTGAAGTTAATTTATTGTTCACTATCTCTTAATGTGGCTTATTTATTTAATATTATATATAAAAGACAAAGTTTTAATGTAATCTTATTAGGTTATAACTTATAAAACAAGTTCATGTGAACACCTAACATAAAAGGTAAAAACAAACTTAAAACTTTATAATCAACGCCCATGCTCCATCAAGTAATTTTTAAAAGAACAAAAAAAAAACTTTTTTTTTCTTTTGTCTAACATTTTTTCAAAAGTTGACCAGACACCACCCCCCAGTTTTTGCAAAGTCCTCTATTGTTTTCTTAATTGAAGTAAATGTTTAGCTACTTGAGTTTGTTGTCTATCAACTATCGTCCTTACTTCATCGAATTTCACTTCTCTCTAAAATTAATATCAAGTTACGCATTGTATTTTTTTTTTCTCTAAAAAAAAAAATTTTGTTTTCTCGAGCATGCTCCTTATAAGTAAGGTTCACCCACATAAGTTTTTTTTTTAGATCGTTTAATTAATTGTTCCCCTTATTTTCTTGTTTAGTTTGACTCACTATATTCATCCTTTGTCATAAATCCACGATAAAGCAATGAAATCACCCTCCACCAGAACCATGTCAACAATCATAATAGAAGTTCTAGACTTTTTTATTTTAATATATATTTTTATTATTCAAATAACCCATCCTTTTTTATTTATCTAATTAACCCATTTTTCCAGTCCAAGTGAGAAATCGGTTGTACTAGCCGGTTTCTCACTTGCCCTCCCCCCTTCTTCCCTTTTTTAGTTTAGTGAGAAATTAGTTATTAGGTAATTGATTTTTTAATTGTTTTTTTTCTTTCTTAAAAATTTTAAAAATTTTAAAATTTAATTTAATTTAATTTAAAATTCAGAATTTGAATATTATTTTCAGATCATTGTCAAAAGGTCTCTCAATCATTGGAATATATGTGTGTTTTATAAATTATTATTTCTTCTCTTATTTTATCGATGTGAGACTTGTTTGTATCCCAACACTATAAATTTCAATTCTTGCTTGGAACAGGTCAATAAACTGGAAGAAAGTATAGATGTCATAAATTCAGGAACAAAGCCCCTTGCTGCATATATATTTACAACCGACAAGAAGTTCAAGGAACAGTTCGTAATGAATGTTTCTGCCGGGGGTTTGCTTGTCAATGACACTGCCTTACATGTACAATTCGTTTCTTTGAAGTTTTTCCATGAATTTCATGTGTCTTTATGTGTGATTCTTAGTATCACTGAACAACATCGAAGTTCCTAATCAGCTTCAAAATTTCAGTATGAAATCATTTTTTTTATGCAAATTCTAAGGATACTTTAAACTTGAATGGATAGAAAACCTTTGAAATGCAACTTCAATTGTTTTTATTTCATGTGCGTGGTGCACGTGTATGTGTGTGTGCAATCATGTCTCTGCTTCTGTTGATTCATATTGAATTTTATGAATTTCTTCAAATAGCATGTTCGATCATAGATTATGATTTATTTTTAAAACTTTTCCCCCATCTATTGACATGGATATAGTCTTGTTATTCAATGTTCTGTATTTATGGTTTGAATCAATTAAATATCTGAACATTTTTCATGTGTGTTTTCCTTTTCCTGGTGCAGCTTGTGGTTCATACTTTGCCATTCGGGGGAGTTGGGGAGAGTGGGATGGGAGCGTACCACGGGAAGTTCTCCTTTGATGCTTTTACACACAAAAAAGCTGTTCTTTATCGCAGTTTTGCTGGTGATGGATCAATAAGGTACCCACCGTACACGGATACAAAACTGAGATTGATGAGGGCTCTTATTGGTGGTAGTATCCTTGGCATACTTCGTGCTCTTTTCAGATGGTCCTAAGTTTAATTTTTTTTCAAATCTAGCTGGTGTTGATGTATCTTTAGTTCTGCCTTATTTGTATTTTGGCATGCTGTTTAGTTTTTCTATTGATTTTGTTTTTAAGGAAATCCAATAAGCGAGGCTTGCCCTTGAAAAAGCAAATTAACTATTGTTAATTCTCTTCATGATTTTGTTAATATGTCTCGTTTTTGTAATGCGAATAAGTTGTGATATTGTGTACACATGTACATATAACATGCCCTTCGGCTTCGCGGAGGGATAAGGTTATTCTGATAAGATTTATTTTCATCTAAAACAATTAAAGTTTGATCAGCTATTCTGGTAAGAACAAAATACCACTTTTTATAAGAGGTGCTCACACCTAACATGAATTGTTTTGCTTTTTTGGGATTTATGGTGCTCTAAAGATTGAGAAATTTAATCTATTCGATCGATAAACAAAAGAAAGAATAAAAGAAAGGTTACAAAGGCTTTGATCATGAAGAATCCTGTAAAATACGAACAACCTCTGATCTTTGATTGTATGAGAGTTGTGTTGGAAACTCAACTAGAAACGTAATTTTCAAGTTTCCTCTCATCCCTGGTTCACTGGAGATTGGCATACCTTGGCCAAAAATGATCTTCTCATAGCCAGGGTGTATGATATTGTCAAGTGTCAAAGTCATGTGCTCTCCACCCAACAGTGGGACTAATATTGTACAGCCTGTGAGTGCCTTTACTAAGGAAATTTCTACACTCAATTCCAAATCATCCCCTTCTCTTCTAAATAACTCGTGTCTTTTCTCTGAGATGATACATATTATATCTTCTCTGTAGGCACCTGGTCTCTCATTCCCTTTTCCTTCAAATGTAATCTTTGTTCCTTTCTTCCATCCAGGTTGTACATTTATCGTCACCAATTCTTCCTCTTGAACTATTCCCCTGTAAAGAACAAATATCAAGCATATTCATTAAGCTTTTGCCAAATAAATAGTCGCTGAAATCCTGAGCTTGGAAAATCTTCACACACACGCAAATACATAGGAGACATACTAAGTGTGAGCCTGAAAGGTGTGAGGAGTTAATTTTGGTCAAAATTATTTTAATTATTTTTAATCTCAATCATCCATTTGAATTAGATGGTTATGATATTGGTTCTTCTCACACACTCTCACTTGATATGCTATCATATAATTTTAGTTATTACTCATTAGACTTGCTCCAGCCTCCACCTCTTATAGTCTGTCAAATATTACTTCTAAATTCTAATCTATCAGTGATTCATGGCAAAATATATATGTGTGTTTTATAAATTATTATTTCTTCTCTTATTTTATCGATGTGAGACTTGTTTGTATCCCAACACTATAAATTTCAATTCTTGCTTGGAACAGGTCAATAAACTGGAAGAAAGTATAGATGTCATAATTTAAGTTATATAAAAAGAAATATTTATATTATATATTAAATTTTGTATTATAAATCAGTGAATATTAGTATGAAAGTGTAATTTTTTCAATTTTAGGATGACTTTTAAAAGGTGTTGGGAGTATTTTTGGGACCTGAAAGTTGTACTGTTGGATTCATTAACATAAAAACCACGAGAAATAGTTGTGCAAATAAAAAAATTAACTTAGTAGAGACATAATAAAAGGCCACGAAGTAAGTTAATTGATATAATTTGTCGGTGCGATTATAGTTTAAAAATACCAATATTTTTAATTTTGTAATTATTTTTATCACAATAAATTAGTTGATATTAAACATTTAAGTTATTTAATGTGAAATATTTATATAAAATTATGTATTATATATTAAATGTTGTATTATAAATAAAAAAATATTGATATGAAAGTCTAATTTTTTTATTGTTGAGTGACTTTTAAAATGTGTTATGAATATCTTTAAGACTTGAAAGTTGTACCGTTGGATTCATTAACATGAAATCTGTAAAAAATAGTAGTGTCAAGAAAAAAATTAGCTTAGTAGAGGCATAATAATAGGCCACAAAGTGAGTTAATTAAGAAGAATAACACAATCATAGTCCATCAAATCACATGACAACAATCTAGGTTAATGATGTCTATGCCCACCAGTTCCACACCTTCGAAGTTGTCAGTTTCTTGTTGGGTTTCGACGACCAATGCGTGGCTATTTTGGTTTAACCCGATCATGTTTTATTTGAGCATTATCCGTAGTAGGATTCGACAAAGCACTTCCACCAACCTCAAGATGAACGGAAGAAAATGAAGAAAAATTCATACTTTACATGTAATCATATGCGCTTTAAGGTGTGTGTATGTCGATGCCAAATAGATTGCTCATGAAGTCTTCCGTGGAACCTCTTGTTGATGGTAGGGTGTACATGAAATGTTCATGCTGCATATGAATTGGTGGATTCATTGAATAAGGCTGGGGATATTATTCCACATTATAAGGTGGGTTGTTGTCTCCAACCATTGGCGTATGTGATGGTGTTGGATAATGTTGTTGAAATCCTATAGTTGTTGGGAGTTATGTATTTGAAGTGGATGCGCCAGATGTAGAATATTGGCTAAAAAATAATAATTTAGAATATGTACAAAACCATTATAAATACTCAGCAATGTGTTGGAGAGACCTTTGAAGTGATTGGCCAAAAAGAACATCTTTGTGTCTATCTTTCCATATGGAAATCCAATCTGCATGTTGTTCAGCCCAATTGGTGTCACCATGTCCTCTCATGTCTATTTCGTGTATTTTGTCAAGATTATGTGCTTCATTGGGAATCGGTTGCCACAAGCCAAATTGCAATTAGACTCTGTCACTTTGATGCTAAACTACAACTACAAATGAAGTTAAAATAGTGCAAGAAGTCCATATTTTGGAATTCTTATAAGCACGTCTTGGCAATGTGGACTCAAATCCCCTATATGACATCCACTCAAACTAAAAAAGGAAAAAGGTTTAGGCTAAAAATTAATTGAAGAAAGTATGTTTGAGACAAGTTGATATTGTATTGCCTTGTTATGATTTATGTTGTCATATCTTAATCTATAGCCAAGTAAATCTTTATGGGGTGTGCCTGTAAATCTTAGCCTTCTTCCTATCCATCTAAAAAAATTGTACATTGATTAAAATTTTGCTAGAATATACTTGTTCGATGTATTAAAGTGGCATATACTTGTTCGATGTATTAAAGTGGTACAGAGAAATGCTTCATTATCGAGCTATCAAACTTACAGACGATGAAGACATGCATGGCATGATTCAACTGATTCATAGCCATAAATTTCTTACTTTTGGTGAACTGTATGCGAATGTCACACAAATAAATAATAGTCCTCCACCTTCCTTTCAAAACCAACCTTCCTTATATTATTCCCAACAATCAATAGAACACCATTTTAATCCACACATAAGTTCTTTCACCCATCTACTTTCTATCCCTTTTCAAACCAACCATGACTCACCATACCTCAACGAGCATTTACCACATGGATCCTTTACCAACCTCTTTGCATTTGGAGTCTCAAAAAAAGAACAAGGCACTCGCAGCCTGTTTGAGTCTGGAGTTCTAGAAGAAAAAAGTTGATGCTAGCCTACTTGAGATTGGAGTTCTAGAAAAAGAAGTCGGTCCTTTTAGTGAGGACGAAGATGATGCAAGACTCTAACAAGAGGATGAACCAGATGAAAAAGATCTTGTTAAACAACAACCTCAGTACATAGGCACATCTTTAGTCATATTCAATTTTCTAGCACACATTCACAATGTTGATCTACAAATAGATTTCACCGACCCTAAGTATAGACATGCACTTGACCATGTTGACATCCAATACACTCTTGAAACCCTCTTTTAGGGCATGACTTTTGACACAAAGGAAAGGAGGAAGTCAAACATGTTTTAAATGCATACCATGTCAAAAAAGGTCTGTACTACAAGATCGAGAAATCATCTCCAACATTAATTGTTGCACGATGTGTTAACAATGAATGTGACTGGAGGTGCAGAATGAATTTCATTAACATAAGCCAAAAATGGTAGGTTCACAGGCTATCAAATGAACATTCTTGTTCAACCCCAATTATCTCACAAGATCATGTCAACCTTAACAATGTATATATTAGCAAAATTATTCTTCCATTGGTGGAGACTGGAGAGTGATCTATCAATTTCAATTCTAACAATAATAGCACATATCAAAAGTGATAAAGGCTACACAATCTTATATTAGAAAGCATGGATGACAAATCAAACAAAAATTGAAGATTTACATGGCAATTGGGAACAATCATACCATGATTTACCCAAGTTGCTTAATGCCACAAAAATATTTCTTAATGAATTTGTTGTTGAGAAGCAGACAAGGCCATTATACAACCAACAAGGTAAAATGATTTTTGAATATGTTTAATTCCATTGAGTATTTTGGACATTTAAACCTTGTATTGATGGGTTCAAATACTACAAGCTTGTTGTTCAAGTTGATGACACATTCTTGTATGAAAAATACAAAGGAACTCTCCTCATGGTCGTGGTATAAGATGGCAACAACAAAATAGTTCCAATTGCTTTTTCCATTGTTGAGGGTGAAACAACAAATGCATGGTATTTCTTTCTACATTACCTAAAAAGACATGTTTGCCCTCAAGATGGCCTTTGCTTAATCTCTAGCAAGCATGAGTCCATAAAAAATGCCTACTCTAAACAAGGCAGTGGACATCGGACAATTAAGTGCATGAGTTTTGCATTCGCCACATTGCCCAAAACTTCATGAGACATTTCAGGAATGCAGAAAGAAAAAAAATTGATATTAACATAGGTATGTAGTTTTTTTTTATATATTTTTTATGATCAATTAAATATTTATTTGTATTTTTTTTACTATATTTCAATAATAATAAATTGATGATTTATTGCTCTTCAAACTTTGCAACTTATGGGATGATTGAGCCTTGGTTCAATATACTACTTTAATATATTGAGAATCGAACTAGAAATTGAAGGTGTAATAGATTGACTCAACACTATTACTAGAGAACAATGGACTCTTGCATGGGACGATAGTCAACGACACATGACTACTAACTTAGCAGAGGCTATAAATTCCATTCTCAGGAAAATTAAAACTTTGCCAATATCTGCAATTATTATGTCAACTTATAAGAAATGTAATTCATTATTCATATAGAGAGGGAAGAAAGTCGATGCTAAACTCAAAGCTGACCAAGTTTACACTGAAATAAAAAAAAAATAGGGCCATGAGAGATGCAGAATCCAAGGCAAATAGTCATCATGTCCTTAAGTTTAAACGTCATAATATACATTTTTTGGTGCAAGAAACCATTAACCAAAGGGAAGGATGTCTGACTAGAACTTTTACAATTAGACTAGATCGATGAGAAGTGGTGTGACTATGGCAAATTCCATAAGTTACACATGTCATGCTCCCATGTTCTTGTTGCATGTAAGTGTGTTCACCACCATTACATATCTTATATAGATCTGGTATACACATTAAAATATATTTCCAATGTGTATAATGAGTGTATTTGGTAAACTATCAAACGAATCTTATTGGCTAAAGTGTAACAAACTGCAAATAATACCAAATTCAGAAAAGATCAAAAATAAAAAAGGTCCTCCGAAGTCATCCCAAATACACACTGAAATGAATATGGTTGAACCAGAACAACCAAAAAGATGTTCTCTATATAGGAATGTGGGTCACTCTAAGAAAAAATATCCTTACCATCAAGGGAGTTCAAATTAAGAAGCTTAAATGGATGATTTTTCACCACCTATATCTCAATTTCGATTGTTTTTATTGTGTATCTTTCATCAATATCATATTCTATAATTTTAATTTGTCTTTTCATACCAACATTTTTTTTTATATTTTTAATACCAAATTTAATATGTAATAAAACATATAACAATTTTTTATAACAAATTTAATTATCTATAATTATTAATGCAAAATAAATATATTAAATAAATTATACATATTTAAAATATAACAAATTAATTATTAAATTATCTATATTTTAAAATAAAATTTTAATATTAAATATAATTTTCAAAATTTAAGTGTAATTATAATATTAAATATATAAATTTTCAAAAATATAAAATTTAAATATTAAAAATAATATTCAAATTCTGAATTATAAATTAAATTAAAATAATTTTAAAATTTTAAAAAAATTGAAAACTAAAAAAAGGTCTAATTGAAAAATCAGTTACCCAATAACTAATTTCTCACTGCTAAAAAAGAAGGGGGAGTGAGGGGTTTAAGTGAGAAATCAGGAAATGGGTTACTTAGATAAATAAAAATGAGTGGATTATTTGAATAATAAAAAAATATATATTAAAAAAAAGTCAAAGTTCTATGCTAGAGAATAATATATCATATCTATTGGATACCTATAACTCTTTTTAATGTATAAAATAAGTATTATATTTATATATTTTTCATTTTGTTGTATATTTTTTTTTAAGTGTCAAGTTTTTTATATCAAAATTATGATTGAAAAAATGAAATACATCAAATATTACAGTCAATTAAAGTTATTTTGTTTAATATTTTATTATTAACAATATTTTTAATGTAATTTTTATATTTTTATTTTATACAAAATAACATAACCCTTTTAATATGTTCAAACCTAGCTTTATATCCTAGTAGTTGGATGGGAAGAGATTAGGATAGTTAGAAACATTGAGACTTAAGTTCAATTCTCATTGCGATCATCTTTATAATCTTTTATATCTTAAAAAAAAACCCTAACTTTATATATATATATATATATATAATAATGATAATAATATATATATAATAATGATAATAATAATAATATTAATAAATTTTATCCTCTATTCAATTGTTACATTCTTTAATTAATACTTATACTTAATAAGTTTCATATATTAGTCAACAAAACTAACCACCGCTCATGAAAAAGTTAGAATATCTAATTAACTCATTTAAAATAATTTAAAAGATGAAATATAACTATGATTATTGTTTAAAAATTAACGATTAAGGTTTTCAACAATTTCATAACGTGTAAAACTTTTTACAAGATCAATCAAATAAAAATAATATTTTGACTACTTTCCCATAGTTTTATTAAAGACAACAAAGTTACCATAAAAAGATATGATTTAATAATAATTTAAAATGTATATTGTTATTAAATTGTTTCATGATTTACTTTATATGCATATTTATATTTTATGATAATCTCAAGTTAATGTATATCTTACCTTTTTTTTATTTAATATCTAACTTTATCTAATAATAAAGAATCTTTTAAAAAGTATTTAAGAAAATACATTATTACTTACAATTTTATAATATTCTTATTTGTAGTAATTATTACTCACTCACAAATATTAATGAGGCTTATTTAAAAATTTATTTTAAACAAAAAGAACACAGACAATTTTTTTATGGTAAACTTGATAAGTCATAGTAATGAAGTGAGAGATTCCAAATTTCCAATCCAATGTGCGTGTTTTCTCTTCATTCCCTATAAAATGAATGTTAGTGTCTGCGTACATGAGCATGCAAACACGCTTCAGTGAGAGCCCTGCTTCAACTTCAAGTGCCTTTATCAATTCTGATTTTAAGATACCAAAACCTTGTTCCGAAGATGGATGTGAAAAGCAGGGGAATTCCATTGAACACGCTTTTGCTCTTTCTGCTCCTTTCTGCCATTTTTTCAATCTCTTCTGCAACTTCCTCTATTACTTGTCCGATTCAAGGAAATGTGTATCCTCTTGGGTATGTATGTTATGTTATTTCTTGTATCCTCTGACTTCTTCAACACACTTCTTACACAAGTCATATCATTATTTATTATTATTATTATCCTAAGGTACTACACGGTGAAGCTCTCCATTGGCAATCCTCCTATGGTTTTTGATCTTGACATTGACACCGGTAGTGATCTCACTTGGGTACAGTGTAATGCACCATGTTCAGGTTGCACCATAGTAAGTTTCACTTCACAACATGAAAACATTCATTCTCAGCTACTTTTACTTATTATATTGCTAGCAACCACGCATCTTACGATGAAAATTGATGATCTTCATTTCCTTAATCGTTTTTTTAGCCAATTAATCAACAGTATAAACCCCATGGCAACTTTGTGAAATGTGGGGATCCCTTGTGTGGTGGAGTCCAGGCACCACCAGGCCATCCCCATGTTGATCCAAATGTGCAATGTGACTACGAGGTTGAGTATGCAGACCAAGGATCATCTTTGGGTGTGTTAGTCCGAGATAATATTCCCCTAAGACTCACTACCGGATCTTTAGCAAATCCTGTGTTGGCCTTCGGGTGAGTGTGTTTTCTCTCCATCTATTTGACATTGCTTGGTTTTACTATTCATTCATTATAAAGCATATACACCACACTTTTTTTTTTTTTTTGATAAGCAATACCATAAGTATTATCCCATGAAACAACAATTCTCATTGGAAAGAAACAATACTGCTGCATACTATGAAGTATATATGATAGTTTTTCAAAAATAATGAAGATTTCCTTTGTTGTTGCATGCTAGGTGTGGATATGATCAAACGCATCCTGGTCATAGTCCCCCACCTTCCACAGCAGGGGTTCTTGGCCTTGGAAATGGCAGGTCAAGCATTCTGTCACAACTTAACTCTCTTGGTCTAATTCGCAACGTGGTGGGACACTGCTTAAGTGGAAGAGGAGGAGGCTTTTTATTCTTTGGAGATAACCTCGTTCCCCGATCAGGAGTTGTTTGGACACCCATATTGCAAAGTTCCTCTTCCTCGGTGTAAGTGTTGAAATAGATGTTATATGTTTCCTTATGATTTATGAGATGTTGCTACTTATGAGAACTTACACATAGTTTATTATGTTTTAGACAACACTACAAAACAGGTCCAGCAGACCTGTTTTTCAATGGAAGACCTACTTCTGTGAAGGGTCTTGAACTTATATTTGATAGTGGAACATCCTACACATACTTCAATTCCCAGGTTTATAGAGCTCTTGTTCAACTGGTGAGAATGAGATATATGGAATCCAAGGATATGGAGCCTTGTTATTGTATTATTTGGCTTTGGCCTATCATAATTACATGCCATCTTCAATTGGAAATCCTTGATCTATGATTCAGGTAACTAATGATATAAGGGGGAAGCCATTGAGAAGAGCAACTGAGGATCCATCACTGCCAATTTGTTGGAAGGGTTCAAAACCTTTCGAATCTCCACAGGATGTCATTAACAATTTTAAGCCCCTAACACTCAGCTTCACAAAATCGAATTCACTGCTGCAACTACCACCACAAGCTTATCTAATTGTCACTGTGAGCACCTTTTAAGACTATGAGCTACTTCTTTCTCTCTTGAATGAAATTATGCGTATTGTCTAACATGATGCCCTTTTGCAGACTCATCGCAATGTCTGCTTGGGGATTCTAGATGGCACTGAAATAGGACTGGAAAGTACTAACATAATTGGAGGTGAGTTATTTCAGACACCAATAAAACATTCATAAGAAAATCTTTTTTTTGTTTCTCTTTTTTAATTTGATGGTAATGCATTTTCTTTTGCTCTTAACAGATATCTCTTTACAAGATAAGATAGTGATTTATGACAACGAGAGACAGCAGATTGGATGGGCCTCTGCAAATTGTGATAGACGATAGACCTCACAAATCATGAATAAATCTAATGTAGTTTTTTCTTTAATTGAAAGTGACAATAATAGGGAAATCTTAGCAAACTTGCAACTTACCATGTAAAAGATTGTCATTGAGTTGTTATGCAAGGATTGTTAGGTTGCAAAATGGTTGGGATAGGATATATAACAATACCGTATACATGGTATAACATCATCTATACATAATTGTCGGTTAAAGCATGGTAGTAAGAATCGCACGATTTGCGATTTGTATCGTACGATACGATACGATTCAGAGTCTCCGCGATTCGAATCGCATGTTGACTCGTTTTTGATTACGAATCGTATGCGAATTGTTTGTATCGTGTTCGGAATCGGAAAATCGCGATTCTAAGGAGAAATCGCACGATTCTGGACATTGTGTTAACTATCACAATTTTTTTCAAAATTGCGACGGTTTGTCCCAAAATCGTCGTAAAATTTTCCAACATTGCGACGGTTCCTCCTAACCGTCGCAATTTACAATATAAAAATTGAAATAAAAATTCACACAAAGTCATGCACACTTCAAAATTATATAATTTTACTTTCAATAAAAAATAAAAAGTAAAATAATAATAACATGTAATTACATTTAGAAATGTTAAAAAAGAAAAAATATTTTAATATACTATATTAATTTTATTTCTCTATCTTTTAAATTATTTTAGAATAATTTTTTTTTATGTTAATCCTAAGAAGCTAAAAATTAAAAAATATAATATATATATATATGTTATATTTTTTTATGTTTTAGTGAAATTAATAATACATCTTAATTGTGGATTAAATCGAGAATATTGAAAAAATAATAAATAATTTATGAAATTTATTATTTTAATAGTTAATTAAATATGATATATTTGATAAATTAATTATCTTTTCACAAATAATAACTTAAAAATTACTTCTAGGTTTGAATATAATACACACACACACATATATATATATAACCCCTATTTAATTAGAATTTAAAAGTTATTTTTGGTACAAACTAAATGTTATTTTGTTCAAAAATTACGGTAAAATTTGATAAAATTTAGGACTAAAAATACATTTAATAGTAGATTAGACCAAAAGTAATATTTTTCTTTTGGAAGTATTATATTATCTTAATAAACTTATATTTTATTAACAATTTTATATATATTTTGTTTAATATGAGATACACAATTATCATCAAAAAAATTATATATATATATAAGAGCGGGAAAGCGGGGCGTGGGGGGAGAGGGG